ATTGGGATTGCATTAAATGTGTAAATTGCTTTTGGTAGTATTGCCATTTTCACAACATTGAGTCTTCCTATCCATGAGCAAGGGATATTCTTCCACTTTCAAGATCTCTTTTTGTTTCTTGTAGTAGCAAACTATCCCACACAACATTCAAGAGCAAAGCAAGATGTCACTCACAAAGGATTGCATCTTAATATAAAAAAAAAATTCTTATCACTGAACCAGTAGGCAGCATCCTGATAAATGAAGTAAAAAGATTGAAGTTGTTAATGATTTCGTCTTACTTGGATTCACAAACAACACCCTTGGTACTAGCAGTCAGGAAATCAGGAGACGTACTATATTGGGAGAATCTCCAGTCAGGGATCTCTCCAAATTATTGAAGAGCAGTGATGTCAGTTTGAGGACTACAGTGCATCTGATTCAGGCCATGGTCTTTTCAGTCACTTGCTATGCATCAGAGAGCTGGACAATGAATAAGAATGACAGAATAATTGATGCTTTTGAGCTGTGGTGTTGGAGAAGAGTACTGAATATCCCATGTACTGCCAAAAGAACAAATATGTCTTGGAGAAAATACAGCGAGAGTGCTCATTGGAAACAAAGATAGTAAAACTTTATTTCACATACTTTGGGCATGTTGCTATAGGGGATGTTATTTCTTGGAGAGGGACATCATGCTTGTAGAGGTGGAGGGTCAGTGAAAAAGAAGTCCCTCGGTCAGGTGATTAATTTTATAAAACATAATGAATGGGAATGTTTATATGAAATACAATGTGAACTAAGGATAGTGTGAAAAAGTGTATATGAACTTCGTAAAAAAACCAATACAAAATAATTTTTTTTATAAAATAATTTTTTTTAAAAGCAAAGATTTACATCTTGGGAAACCTGACAGAGGATCACCATTTATTGGGATGAGCTCCATAGCAGCAGGTTTTTGGAGTTTAATGGCTCATGGCATTAGGGGTCATCTCATGTGTCTGTTGGCCTTTTGTAGATCTTCTTTGGCAAAATGTTGCTGTAAATCTCTGACAGTTTTCTAGAGATTTGGCAAAGAAGATTTTGACAATTGTTCTTGATTTTGCCTTGTTTGTGTGACACCCGTTTGTAGCTTTCTACTCTGGCACTTGGCTAATTTGGAAACTCTCATTATTATTATTAAGTATTTAATTTTTGTAATTGTCTTATAGTGTATGAAGGCCAGAAATAATGATTTCCCTTTTTCACTAAGAGGAAGCTGAGATCCAGCAGGGTTAAATGAGTTGCTGAGCTGCCCCAGCTAATTATAGAGTCAAGACTGTGCAGTCACACATCTTCTGACTCTAAGACTAGTCCTAGTTTTGCCGTACCCTGTGATTCCACTTGTAATGGTTATTCTTCTCCCAAGCCACAGACATCTTACTAGGCCTTTAATGTTCCTGGCAACCTCATTATAGCACTGGTTTAACTAAATTAAAGCCAAGAATAGGAGAGGGGAGGTAGTGGAATTTGGAGTCTTAATCTTGTGTGACTGTTTTAAGTCTGATTCTTAATGAATTCATTGTGTCTTGGTTGTAATAAAGCTAACCAAGATATTTCTCGTATTTTTTCTCTGATCTGTAGGGAATCGACGAGCTTCCTTAACAAAGCCAAGCATAGATCATCCAAGGGTAGCAGAGGAGATAACATTTTCCATGTGGAGAGCTTAACATTGTAGGCTCTATTTTCTTTGTTGTTGTTATATGCCATTGAGTCGCTTGTGACTCATAGCGACCCTATGTACAACAGCCCTAAACTCCGCACTGTCCTGTGGCAATCACACTGTCTCTGACACTCCCATCCCAATTATCCCAGTCAATTCACCTCATAGAGGGCCTTCCCCTCCTGCACTGTCCCTCCACCCTCCCAAGCATGATGTCCTTCTCCAAGGACTGGTTTCTCCTCAGAACATGTCCAAAGTATGTTAGATGGAGCCTCAGAATCCTTGCCTCCAAGAAGCCACCCGGTTTAACCCTTTGCATGATGAATTTGTTTGTTCTCCTAGCAGTCCATGGTATTCTCAATACTCTTCTCCAGCACCACAGCTCAAAGGCATCAATTCTCCTTCTATCCTTCTTGGTCATTGTCCAACTCTCTGATGCATAACAAGTGATTGCAAAGACCATGGCCTGTATCAGACGCACCTTAGTCTCCAAAGAGACACATTGCTCTTCAATACTTTGGAGAGGTTCTTAACAGCAGACTTTCCCATGGCAATGCGCCTTTTAATTTCCTGGCTATTGGTGCCAAGAGTGTTGACTGTGAAGCAAAGCAAACTAAAACTGTGAACAATCTCAATCTCTTTACCATCCATCCTCATGCTGCCAGTTGTTCCAGTGGTGAGAATCTTTGTCTTCTTGACATTGAGCCTCAATCCATATTGGAGGCTGCAGTCCTTGACCCTCTGCAGCAGGTGCTTCAGGTTCTCCTCAGTTTCAGCAAGCAGGGTTGTGTCATCTGCATAACGCAGGTTGTTGATAGATCGTCCACCAATCTTGACCCCACATTTCTCCTCATAGAGCCCAGCCTCCTGGATAATCTGTTCTGCATACAGGTTGAAAAGGTATGGAGGTAGGATGCATCCCTGGTGTACACCCTTCCCAATTTTGAACCATGCAGTGTTCCCTTGCTCTGTTCTGACGACTGCCTCCTAGTCCAAGTATAGGTTTCACCGCATTTAAATGATCAAGTGTTCTGGGATTCCCATTCTTCTCAGAGTCAGCCACAGTTTGTTATGATCCAGTCAAATGCCTTTGCATTGTCAACGAAACACAGACATTCCTCTGGTATCCTCTGCTTTCAGCTAAGATCCATCTAACATCAGCTACAATATCCCTAGTACCACAACCCCTTCTAAACCCAGCCTGGACTTCTGGCAGTTCTCTGCTGATGTGCTTTTCCAGTTGTTTTTGGATTATCTTCAGTAGAGTCTTGTTTGCATGTGAAATCAATGAGATTGTTCTATAGTTTCCACACTGTTGGGTCACCTTTCTTTGGTGTACCTATTTTCTTATGTTTCTGTAATTCTGTTTCCTCTTGTCTTTTGTTTCTGCATCCTGCCATGATCAAGGAACTCACAGCCCTCAGTTAGCACTTTCTTCCAAGGATATAGTCATGATTTTCCCATAAATTCCTTGTATGCTGCAAAGATGAGGTTGGAACATTCAAAGGCAGCTTCACTGAAGGAGTTGAATTAGCAACTAACATATAAGTAAATGTTTTTGTTTATAAATTATAACCACTCAGAAACTGTTGCCTACTCATGTCTCTCTTCCTAGCCATTTCTAAAGAATGCACACTTAGATAGTCACCCTTGTAGAGATTAACCCCCAAGAAAGCTAGTTTTACAGAGAGATTAAGCTTCTTCCTTTTGTCTTTATAGGGTCTTTCTAAGTTCCACTTTCCCTGGAAGCCTTTTCTTAGGTAAATAACTGACAGACGTTCTGGAGACTATCTTCAGAAGTCCTTTTCCCATGCACAGGGCCATGGTTTTACTGACGCTGCAATAAATAGGGCCACTATATAGGGTTTTCACTTTCATTCAAGTAGTATACTAGCAACAGGTAATATCAAAATAGAATGTGATAATGCTATTAAAGGTAGCAGTGTCATTTATTTCTGAGTATGAAGAAATCCACATGTGCTTACTGTTTAAGCTGATTTTTTTTGTTTTTCAATCCTTTTAGGTATCATGAACTGATCACAAAATACGGGAAGTTGGAGCCCTTGGCAGAAGTGGACCTAAGACCCCAGAGCAGTGCAAAAGTAGAAGTCCACTTTAATGATCAAGTGGAGGAAATGAACATTCGTCTGGACCAGACAGTTGCAGAACTGAAGAAGCAGTTGAAAAGTGTAGTGCAGTTGCCCACAAGCAACATGCTTCTCTACTATTTTGACCACGAAGCACCCTTTGGCCCAGAGGAAATGAAGTACAGCTCTCGGGCATTGCATTCTTTTGGTATTAGGGATGGTGATAAAATTTATGTGGAATCCAAAACAAAATAACCTCTACCAGCCTTGTAAAAAACATATACATGGACTTTTTGCAGGGCATTTGTTCCCAATGTGGTTTTCTTTAGGAGGGAGAAGATTGTTTTGTTTGTTTTGTTTAGGTTTTGGGGGGTTTTGTATCTTTTTCCCCTGGATTGGTAGGGGACTGTTTTTGGTATTTTCTAGTACCGATTTTTTTGGCTGAGCCAGCAGAATTGACCAGATCTCCAGTTCATGTACCTCCCTGTGGAAAAAATGACAAAAAGATCACCAACTTCTTACTGTGTTCATTTGGATTTGTCAGACATTGGTTATCATTACCATTTAGGTATATGTGTGAAAATAGCATGCACAGTATCTCCCCTCACGAGGGTATTTTATAGTGTTTTAAGTCAGGAAATGAGGACTCTCGAGGAAGGGCCAGCACTTCTTTCTTCCAATTCATCCTTTTTTCTTCCCTCTCCCTCCTTTTCCCTTTTGGTTCCATTTTTCACGTGTGTGAGCACATGTTTACCTAATAGTTTTATTCTGTCTGAATTTTTTTTTTCTGCTTGGGTGAGTGTTCTCATTTTTCCCTTTTGAAACAATTTAAAGTGTTTTAAACATCTTCAACCTGATTGTGATCTCAGGTACTTAGTAAGAACCTATATAACTCTGTTAGAATCCTAGAGAATAGTAGATGGAGAGTTGATGTTCCAGGAGAACTTTGTATTGTTCTGGGAGCATAGGCGGAACAGTCCGACCTCTCTGTATGTAACTCTTACTGGTAATGTTCCTCTCATATTATACCAACCAGTTACATGTTGTATTTCAGACAACAGTTCTTTTCCTTGGTTTTTAATCACATGTTTCTTTTCCATTACTTTCAACCCTTTGAAACAGAGGCCTGGCTTTATGGAGAATCCAGTAGAATAATAGATATCCATGACAGGAGGGTTGGAAAATAATAGCTAATAAACTATCTGTGGGGTGTGTGAGGGAGTGAAGTGGGGGGTATGGGGAGAGAGTGTGCCAGCTCTCCTGCCAGTGTCATCTGTTTTAAGCTCCATTCTTGCACTACCCATAGAGTAGAGGATGCTAATTAAGGGAGCTTTCTTTCTGGGGATTTTGTGATGACACAGTTGAGTAGTTCTTGTTTTACATTTATTAGTTGCTCCAATAGAGGGAAACTTCTGCCCAATCTGTGAGTAAAATCTAAGTATCAAAACTTCAAAATTGTCTCCAAGTTAAGTGTGTTTTTTTTTTCAAAAGCATATTTAAAATACTGTTTCTTTACTAACTTGTTTTTACTAACTAGTTTTTTACCTGCTTTGAAATCTTTGTTCTTCTGTTCCTTTGTTAATCAAAGGTAATCTCTTTCTTTTATTTATATATATACATATGATATTTTCTTTCCTTTGGTCCACCATGTTGACAGGTGGAAGGCTTGAGAAATCATTAGCTTAACTGGGGCAGAAGTGCACATGAAGTATTTTTCAAAGAATGCAGTCATTAGCTGACTGCATTTGGCATTTTCACCTTTTTTATATGATTCCACCCCCTACAAATTATTTTAATTTCTTACAAAGATTTTGGATTATTTCTTCACATCTGGGGAGTTGGGCATATTATTGCTACTTTTTTATTTTCCTATCCCATAATGGAAGATGTTTATTCTCTTAATGCACTTCAGGTTCATTATCTGTAAAGCCTTTGACTCAGCCCTGCTGAGTCAAGTCTACATTCACTGTAACATTAAAGGTGGAAACCAAAGGGTTTGAGAAAGATGAATGAGGCCTATTCTCCTTCTGCTGCAGACTTTTATCTTTCAGAATCATAAAAATGAGCAATGGAGATCCAGGCTGAGCATAGACAAGATTAATTATTTTGCAATCACATTTTCCTGACAGATTTTTGCAAGTGGGGAAAAAAGTCTGGTGGCAACAGTGTCATGGACATGAAAACTGTGGGTGCTTGGTGTATGTGTGCATGAGTGCAGACAGGTTTGAGAGAGAAGCTGTAATTGAGCCTGGACTGTTGCCAGCCTGTGAAAGAGATGCACTCAGATTTTTTGCATTTGTGTGACCCCTGACTGTCCCACAGCAGAAGGCAGAACAAACACTTATGTTATGCTTTAATCATAAGTGGAATGGTCGTAAGTAATAAGATATTTTATATATTACAAAGTTTTATGAAATGCTTTTGTAATACTAGAGACCTGTTTCTTCTGTTATTCTCGAACTAACTCGGTGTTCATCAACTGCAGGCATACTTTTTTTATTATACAGTTGCATGCAGCAGGAACTTCTGATTTAATTTTGCAGATGTATTTTTCAAATCCTTTAATTGATGATTTTAAAGTTCCTGAATAATCTTTTTGTTAAGAATATACCTAATACAGTTACAGGTCTTTTAGAGTCACAGAACAGCAGGAAAGGCGAAAAGCTGTTTGAACATGTGTGCTTGTATGTTCATATGGTGGCTGAGTGAAGCTGCTGCTTTTAAAAGAAAATTGGTGCTCTGTAGACACTTGTAACCAAAATTATTTTTATAATAGGCTTAAAAGGAGAGATGAGACCGTGGACTTCAGAGTCTACAGGTTATATATAATTGATTGGTAAAATACAGCTTAACTGTATTTTAATATTGACTTTGTCCAGATTCAGTGAGAGCTTATTATTAACATTTATGAGGCAGAATGCTGCCAAGGCCAGTATTACAAATAGTTTGCTACAGGCACAGTGTATAGAACATATCTTTTCTAAAATAGTAATTCTTTTCAGAGAGGAAAAAGGGAGAGAGTAGTCAGAGAAAGCCAAATCTAATCTAAGAGGCCCTTACCCACATACAGGCTGCTGAAGCTATAGTAAAAATCAGTTTTTTAAATTTGAATTTTGATATACATACCCCCAGTTACTTTAAAGAACAAAACAGTCTAGAGTCACGTGTCTCTTTTTATCATTAAAGGTTTCTGTTGTTTCTGGAACCTCTTGCCACCATGGCGATCAAAACATAAAAAAAAGCAGCAGATATCATAACCTCTTGTTTTTAAAGACCATTTGGTGAAGATTAAGCCCAAAACATAATTTGAGCTACGTATAACATGGCTGATATGTTCTCAAATGTTGTTTGAAAAGTGAAAGTTCAGCCCCAACTGTTTCAGCTATGTTGCTGAAAGTAGGTGTGAAGAAGAACAGAGAACACCTGTGGCACAGGCTGCTCTCTGGCAACACCTGAGGCTCACTGCCAAGAGCTTTGTTCAGTTCACCTGTCAGTTGAGGCTTGCTCCATGGGAAGTGCCAGGCTCCAGGTCGTGTAAAACTAGATTGTTCTAAGCAATGTAATTTCTTTTTATGAATTTTATTTCTCCTTTCATTTAATGATAGATTGAAAATGCAAACAATTGCTTTGGACAACACCCAGAAGCTATTTGTGTTAAGAGATGTGTTTTGAACACTACTGTTTTCCATAGGTGCTTCCTTAAAATATATGTCCATTGTAGTGATGGAGAGGGACTGGACTCTCTCAGGCTCTTTACTTGCCAGTTGTCTCCTGCAGTTAATGGAAATATATATATATATTTGCTTACAAAATTTGTATCTGTTGTGTTTCACACTACTCTTTACTCATATTGTATTTCATATAATCATTCCCATGCATTATGTTTTAGAAAATCAATCACCACTGGCCCTTGTCCACCAATACCCTGTCTTTTCAGGTTCCTGCTGGATCCTTCCCAGTTCCTTTACAACCTCCTTCCATTCATCAAATTGTGCAGCCCTGGGCTTTTACCCCTACCCATCCTCACTCCTCCGTTCCCACCTCTTCCCCACCCTTGGGTCTCATACATGTTTTACTAGTTATCCTTCTGTTTTTACAATGATGGTTTTATGCAGTATTTGTCCTTATGAAACAGATTTAGATCTCTTAGCATAATGCTCTCCGGTCTCTCCCACGCTATGTAGTATTTTCTGAAACCATTGCTCCTGAGTGCTGCAAAGTATTCCATTTTGTGTAGGTACCACAATTTCTCAATCCATTCAGTTGGGGTTGGACATTTGGGCTATTTCCATGTTCTTGTAATGGTGAATAACACTGCTATGAACATTGGTATACAAACACTGATAACCCAAGTGGGTTTTGCCCAGGTGGGCAAAAGACATGGAAAGACTTTTAACAGAGGAAGCCATTCGGACGACCAACAGATATATGAATAAATGCTCAAAATAATTGGCAATATGAGAGATGAAAAGCAAAATAATAATGAGATATCATCTCATCCCAGTAGCAGTGGCAAAGTTTAGCAATAAATGGTGGAGAGGATGTGGAAAGGTGAGAACTCTTGTACACTTTTGGTGGGATTATAAAATGGTACAAACCACTTTGGCATTTCCTCAAAAAGTTCCATATAGAAACTCTGTATGACCCAGCTATTCCACTGCTAGGAATATATCCCAAGGGAATTAGAACTGAGACATCATTTACTTTTGATCTTTCTTTGCAGACTTCAGCTTATTGCATGCTGTTTGGTTCTGAGAGCAGAGTAAAAAGACTTGGTTTTATTGCAACACAAAACAAAGCAGAGAAGCCCTTGCCTAATCATTTCAGATCTGACCCCTGATTCTTCCTGCTCCTGCCCCACATCTTTTATTTTCCCATATCTGCCTCTGAACTGCCCTCAAGAAATCAGTAAAGTAACTCAGACCTGAAGTGTCTGTGGGCGCTACTTAGCTCAACCCTTGAACTGTCTTCCAACAAAGAGGGATGAAAGCTAACCCAACAGCTGTGGAAAAGAATGGTGGGGCCAGTTCATGAGGGTCTCTGTCCATGTCTCTAGGAGCCCTCTGGGTCTTAAATGGTTGCTGCTGTTGTTATGTATTGTCAAGTAGGAATAGAGCCATAGTTGACCCTCCAGTGGTTTTTAAGAGTTAACTAATCACACAGGAGGAGACGGCACATTTTCCTCCAATGGAGCACCCGGTGGATTCAAACTGCCTATCTTTGTGTTAGCAGCGCGTTCCTTACCACTAAGCTGCCAGGGTGGAGTAATTAATGGCTCCAGGA